TCCCTAATTCTCATCTCCTGCGGGATCTAGTGGTCCTTAGCATGCACTGGGGTGACCCCACTGGGCTGCCCTCGCCATGACCCCCTTTTACGGTGCTGCCTTAGAACTTATTGAAATGTCTTCTGTGTTGATCTTCCCATCAGCCTGCTCACATGAAGCTTAATCTTTCTTGTGGGTCTTGTAAGCAGCACTTTGTGAAACACGGGCTGAGTCAGTCACACTCAGCAAACAGGTTCTAAGGTAGTCCCATGGTTGTGGGGCTGGTGGCTAGGCTTATTGGGTTTCTTTTGCTGAGATTAGCTAACTGAGGTAACAGAATTCTCCCATGGCATATAACAGAAATTGGTTACGGCCAACAGGAACAGGAATGAAATTTGTCACAAGGATGTCAGGCTCTTTGGAGAAATGGACAGAGAAAAATCCAGAACGGAGTTTGGAAAGGAGTGCAAACAGGATGCCCTGGGGGATCTGGATTGCATTCCCTGCCGAGTGTTCTCTTCCAGTCCAAGTCCAAGGATGTGTCACTTAGGGTGCCTTGGCTGCACGGAACAGAAAGCTCAATCAACTCAAACCAGCTTGAGCAGCAGGGAGTTTGTTGGTAGGAAGGGCGACTCCAGGGTTGGTTGGTTCAGAGGTTCAAGAATGTAACTGAGAACCCAGGCCTTCTCTCTTTCTTTCCTTTGCCATCCCATGTTGGCTTCACCCGAAGGTTGGCTCCCTGTGGCTGCAAAGCGGAGCTGCCAATAGTAATTAGGACTAGAATGTCCTGTGCTGGAACACAGTGTGGGAGGAAGACAGGGAGTGGCTTCCCCTGCTCTCTTGAGAGTAAGGAAGTGCTGCTGCCAGAAGTGCCCAGGAAATCTACTCTGGTGTCTCCTGGCCCAAACTGGTGTGGGCCTGTTCACCCCTGAACCAAACATCAGCAAGAGGCCCAAGGGGTGATTTTGGGCCCCAGGGGACTGTGACAATGTGTGGAGACATTTTTGATCATTACAACCAAGGGAGGTGCCAGTGGCATCTCATGGTAGAAGCTGGAGATTACAGCTAAATATCCTACAATGAAAACGACAGCTCCTCCCCATCCCTCACGCACGGGACAGAATCTGCCCCCAAATGTCAACAGTGCTGAGGTCGAAAAACCCTGGCTTAGAGGAACCCTGGCTTAGAGGAATCAGGCACATCCTGGGGTATGTGGGAGCTGGTGGGAGTCGTCTACTAAGTTTCCACTGCAAACTTTTTTTGTGACTCTAAGATTCAAATTTCAGAGAGGCTTTGTTTGGCTTGGCCTGGGTCACATGCCACTCACAGGCTAACAGAATACAAGGCACTGCGGCTGGCCGGCCGTTCCCCCACAGGAAGCGGAATGAATGTTAACCAAGAAAAAAGAAAGCCCACCTCAACTACGATGAACTTCCTCAGTGACAATCCCCGCAGCAATGAAGAGGAAGACATCCTGGAAGGATACAGAAGAGGGGTGGGTAGAGGAAAAGTAAGATATAGATCAGCGTGACTTCCAAGATGGCTGCCATCAACCTCTCCCCTCCCCGTGTGTGTGTGTGTGTGTGTGTGTGTGTGTGTGTGCGCACGCGCCATTCCCCCTTGAGATATGGGGTCTGCTTCTCCTCCCCCCTGAAACCGGCCTGGCCCTGACCTTGTGACTGTTTCGACCAATAGGAAACAGTGGAAGTGATGCTGGGTCAGCTCTGAACTCCTTGCCTCTGGTAGTCCTGAGCCGCCATGGAAGGTGCCTCAGCTGCCCTGCTGGGACAGCACTGAGAAGCCACCCTGGACTTCCAGCCCAAGTTAAGATGACATCAAACCCAGTACCCATCTGCCTAAAACTGCATGAGGGACTCCAGGGTGAGAGCTACTCAGCTGAGCTGTCAACCCACACAGCTGTGAGTGGCACTAATAAACTATTGTTTTTAAGCCACTAAGTTTTGGGGTGGTTTGTCATGAGCCACTGATAACCAGAAAAATATATAAATCTAATATACACACAAAATTAAGATATTTCTATTTTCACATTTACTCACAGTTTAATTTAAAGTATTTTTATTATACAAATATAAAAGCATTTTTAAAAATGAAGGAAAAAAACAAGTATCACCTCTAGTTAAATGAGTTTAACTTCAATCACCATCAGCATTTAGTTGTGTATTCTTCCAGTCTTTTTCCTATGTAGCTGTCAATACAGTAGTTTGAGAGCATCTTTTTCCCCCTTTACTATTTTTTTTTTTTTTGAGACAGAGTTTCAATCTGTTGCCCAGGCTAGAGTGCCATGGCATCAGCCTAGCTCACAGCAACCTCAAACTCTTGGACTCAAGCGATCCTCCTGCCTCAGCCTCCCTGAGTATCTGGGACTACAGGCATGCACCACCATGCCCGGGTAATATATGTGTGTGTGTGTGTGTGTGTGTGTGTGTATGTGTGTGTGTATATATATATATATATTTTTTGTTTTTTAGTTGTCCAGCTAATTTCTATTTTTTTAGTAGAGACGGGGTCTTGCTCTTGCTCAGGTTGGTCTCGAATTACTGAGCTCAAACAATCCATCCGCCTCAGCCTCCCAGAGTGCTAGGATTATACGTGTGAGCCACCACACCCAGCCCCTCTTTACTATTATGTCAGCCTTATTATCCTACATTGCCATATTTTTACGTATTTATTTATTTATTTTTAGAGACAGGGGCTCAGGATCTCGCTCTATCGCCCAGGCTGGAGTGCAGTGGCGTCATCACAGCTCACTGCAGCCTGGAACTCCTGGGCTCAAGTGATCCTCCTGCCTCAGTCCTCTGACTACCTGGGACTACAGGTGTGAGCAACCACACCAGCCTACATTCCCATAGAGTCTGTAATCAGCCAGCTACACGATTAATAATAATAGCCACCTGTAGTAGACAGAATTGTGGTCTCCCCAAAGATGTCTGTGCCCTAAGCTCTTGAACCTGCAAATATGTTACTGCATGTGCCAAGAGGGACTTTGCAGGCGTAATTATATCGGGGATTTTTAGATGGGGAGAGGACCCTGAATTATCCAGATGGGCCCAATGGAATCACAGGAGTCATAAAAGGGCGGCAAGAGAGTGGAAGTCAGAGACAGTGACGTGAGGAAGGAAGCAGGGTCAGAGAGGGACAGGAGGATGCTGAGCTGTTGGCTTTGAAGGCAAAGGGTGGGCATGAATCAAGGAAGGCAGGCGCCTCTAGATACTGGAAATGGCAAGGAAATGGACTCCCCCCTAGAGCTTCCAGAGGGAATGTAGCTTTGCTGACACCTTTGATTTTAGCTCCCTAAGACCCAGTTTTTGAGCTTCTGACCTTGAGAACTATAATAAATCTGTGTTGCTTTAAGCCACTACATTTGTGGTCATTTATCACTGCAGCAATAGAAAACTAATGATCACCTTCCTGAGCATTTTACACACTTCATATTTAACTGCCACACCAGCCCTACAAGGCAGGTACTGTTAACATTTCCACTTTAGAAATGAGGAAGGTAGTGCTCAGAGAGGTGAAGGGACTTCTTCAGGCCACATAGCTGCTGCGTGCAAAGCCAGGGACACGTTATGGCGCTGCCGTTTATGGTTGTACTTAAAAACACCTCTAGTATAGGATGTATTTGGGCTCACACAAATATATGGACCATATATTGTCCATGACTCTGTCATTGTCGCCATCGTTTTTTCACTTTTTTCCCACTGTTAACATTGTGACTTCTGTGGAAGTCCCCACAGGCCCTGAGATGAAAACTGCAGTTTTGAAATCACAAGGGTCATTGACTCATTAGTCTTTATTGTTATTGACACAAAAGGATTTCATTTAAAAAGATCAAGTTCCAATTCAAACCTGAGTTTGGATGGGTCAGATGTAACTTCGAAGATCTGCTGAATTTTCACTGTTAGGTCAACCTCCAGTTTTTGAAATTAGATTTTAATGACACATTTATAGAAAATCTGCAAAGCTTCTGAAATGGAGTCAAGATTAAACACATCTATAATCTGAAGATGGTCAAGAGTTGGAGCAAACAGGAATCTTTTCTGCTCAGCTAAGTTTTCCCTCCAGCAGGTTGGTCTACCCCTAAGCGAAGCCCACAAGGACAGGTGTGAAGTTGTGTGGTGTTTCTCAAGACTGCTTTTGCATTTACCTGTTTGGAATTATCCTTTTTTTTTTTTTTATGTGCTGGAAAGTAGTCATTCCTCACACCCAACAACAAATGTCTGCATTTCATTAAAGCTCTTAAAGCTCACAAGCAAGCGTGGTCTGAATGGTTGAGCTTCAGCAAGTCCTGCACTCTCTGGCACCCTGTTACCTGAGTCCCCCATGGTAGTCAAGATTTGCTTCCATAGTTCTCACCAAGCTTGAATTTTCCCTCAAATATGCAATTGATAGGTCTACTGTAGACTCTTCTTCTGAAATAATTTTTTTCACTTTTTTTTTACTAAGGCATAGTTTATCTGCAGTAAAATGTGCCCTATTTAGTGTACAGTTCTGTGATTTTTGACAAATGCACACAGTTAGTTATCCAACCACCACTGCAATCATGCTATTACCACCCCCCAAAATTCCCTGGGGACCCTTTGTGGTCTAGCTTGTGACCACCCCCAGCCCTTGGCAACCACTTCTCTGTTTTCTGTTCCCATAGTCCTGCCTTTTCCCAAATGTCACATAAATGGAATCATATAACACATAGCTTCTGAGTCTGGCTTCTTAACTCGCACCATGTTTTTAGGGTTTGTCCATATCATAGCATCTACTAAGAGTTCTCTTATTATTTCTTTTCTTTTCTTTTTATTTTTTGCTGTTTATTTGAGCATCTGGGTACAGAAGGCTGGATGCCAAAGAGTGTCCACACTCTCTTCTTCTTATTGCTAAGTAGTATTCCACTGTATGGATGTACCACAGTTTGTTTATTCCTTCCTCAGTGGAGGAGCATTTAGTTTGTTTCCCATTTGGGGCCATTATGAATAAAGCCACTATAAACATTCTTGCATCAGTTTATGTGTGATCAAAAGTTTTTATTTTATTTGAGTGAATTTCTAAAAGTGGGATTTTTTTGGATTATATCATAATGGTATGTTTAACTTCACTAAAAAAACCCTGCCAAACTATTTTCCAACAAGCTGTACCATTTTGCATTTCCACCAAATGTATGAGAGTTCCAGTTGCTCTACATTTTCACCAGCACTTGATGTTGTCTATTGTAGTTTAACTTACTTCTATCTTCATGATAACCATTCCTGAAATAAAAGTAAAAATGGCCATGGATGAAGTTTAAAATTCATAACTCAGACTGCAAAGCCCCATGTGACCTAGCTCTGCCCATCTTCCCAGGGCCACTCTCTGTCCTCCAGCCTTCTTTCAGATCTTGCTACAGGGCCTTTGCACATCCTGTCAGTCCATTCTGCTCTCTGCCTGGCTGATGCCTACCATCATGTGGATCTCATCCTGAAGTCACTTCCTTAGGCGTGTGCTAGGTTCTGTTCTCTTGTTACATGTTTTCATATCTTCCTCCACCTTTCGTATTTAACCTTTACCACAATAGATCTCAACTGGGTGTGATTTTGCCTACCCTCTCCCCCTCCCCCCGGGACATTTGGCAATGTCTGGAGACATTTTTGGTTGTCACAAGCAGAGTCAGGATGCTACTGGCATCTAGTGGGTAGAAGCCAGGAGTGCTGTGAAACCTCCTACAATGCACATGACAGCCCCCAACAGCAAAGAATGATCCAGCCAAAATGTCAATAGCACTGAGGGTGAGAAACCTGTATCACAACTGTAATCCAGGTAAATGCCTTCTGTGGCTGCCTTCCCATTCCCACCTCACTCCCCACTTCTCTCCACATGCTTCCCTCGCCCCACCCCTGTATGTGTATGCAGCTGTTTAATGTCTTTTTTCCCTGCTAGAATATAAACCCTAAGGGGCAAGGATCGTGTCTTTGTTCTCTATATATTACATACCATAGGTGCCTAGTAAATGTGTTGAATGAATGAAAGAACGCATTCAAACTATCTTTTGTGAAGCATATTTTTAATTTTAGGACACCAAAGGGCATTTCTCTTGACTTCTGTCTTGATAACCCAAAACATCATTTGGGAAAAAAATAAACAGGAGAGGAGAGAGAGAAAAAAAGGGAGAGAAAAGGGGGAGGAGGAGAAAAGGAGGATGGAGACAGAGAAGACTCAACTTGAGCTGGAATTCCAGCACTGGCACGTACCTGTCACATAACCAAGAGCAGGTCACCTTCCCTCTCGGAGCCCCAGTTTTTCTCATCTGTAAAATGGGAATTACAAAAACAAAATTAAACATGCTAATGAATGTCAAGTACCCTGCACTTAATCAGCGTTAGTTTTGTACGTTCCCCCGTTTCCTCCTTCTGAGTTTCCTGGCCAGCATCAGTGCTCACTCTCATCCTCCTCGGCCCACCCCACGGGGCGGCCTGAAGCTTGGTGGACAGTTCTATACACGCCCATGGCACCCAACCTCCAGCGCCTGTGTGCTCAATCTGCACATGTCAGGTCACAAGGGAACTGTGTGGGAGCTGATGGCCCCAGGCACAATCTTCAACCATTGAGTGATGGGCATTGTGGAGAAATATCCCAGCTTCGTAAGAAGATTCTGAGGTGGACTCCACACCATCTCCCAGAGGGCTCACTGGGATTGAGCCCCAGCTGCCCATAAAGATGACCAGCTCGTTGACATACCTTAGTGGTATTCCTCCTTTCCCTAGCTCACGTTCTCTCTCGCTTGTTGTTCTTCTTGACACTGCCTCCCAAACGAACTACTTGCACCTAAGAGTGGCAGGGCCTCTCTGTGCCCCCAGGTTTTACTGTTTTGCTCAACTTCACCTGCCCAACTTCTAACTGGTACCATCTATTAATATATCTTTTCATAGGAGGGTTTTGGGGTTTTGTTTTTCTTCTTCTGGCTGTTGGAGTCAAGTAGCCTAGAAGAGACTGGAAGATAAACACTCCTTCTCTTCCCTCCAGCAGCCCTCAACAGATGAATGGAAGGAGGTGGAGAATACCCCAGCTCCCCAGCCCCTTGGGGAGAACTCTGAGACATGTGTTTTACACCAGGGGGATTAAGCTTCAGTTGCCCCGGGCAATAACTGTCTTGATAACTTGCTTAATATTGGTTGTCCTCCCTGGCTCTCTTTCCTCTCCCCAACTGGTGTTTCTTTCCTTTTTCCTTCCAAATTTGTCCTTATATCTTTGTCTCAGGGTCTGCATCTGTGGAAATCTAAACTAAGATACAAGGTCTGCTAGCGGGGGATTCCAAACTAAGACAGATATCAATTAGAGCCAACTGCAAACAGTCTTGCTTTAAATAGCCCCCACAGAACAGAATGGGGCATGCTGTTCTTCAGTGAAACAGCACTCCTGTTTACCATCTGGGGCTGAAGCGGATGATTCCTGTTCCCTGAGTGGAAGGAACGCATCTTTCCCATGGCATTCACAAGCCTCACACCGCACCCTTTGGTACATAAATCACCCTCTTTGTTTCACACAAACTTCTTTATTGTACTTCACAGAAAGTTACTCTCGCTGAAACACAGAGGGTGCTCTGTTGGTAGCTTTGCAAATGCCCCTTGGGTCTCCAGTGGGGGTCATTCCTTGCTCCTGCGTAGTTACTTTCTGGGGACAGTCACACATGTTGAATGTTGGCGAAGGAGAGTTAGCTTGGTTCGACACTTTCATTTGCCAAAAAGTTGTTTTGCAGATGGCTGATGGGAAATCCCAAAGCACTTACCAATGGTAGGTACCATGTTACCTTATGTGATTTCTAAATTTTCTTTCATTTCATAACGTGAATATGGAAAGATGTTTGCAGATTGGAGGCTGCCCTGCATCCATTCCATTCTCTTCCATGCCTAGTAACCTTCATTTACACTTGGGAACCCCCCTTTCCGGAAGTTCTGTCTGCCCTAGAAGTTCCCTTGAACTTCCACCCCAACAAGGAGCATGTGACTTAGCATCCACCAACCAGAGCAGCCAAGGTGCAAAAGCTATGATTGGCTCAGGGCTGAACATGTGATACAAGTTGGTCCAATGAGAGTTCATCTCAGGATTTGTTCGATGGCTACTAAGAAGGCACACTTCTGCTCCCCTGTGAGCTAGAGTAGTTGGGAGAGCTGACAAATCCGCCCGGTTCACTGAACATCTTAATTCCAGAGGAATTTTTAGATATTAAATTTTGTTCTCACCGGACACTGCTGCTCCCTGCTGTATTATGTTGACTCTCCTGGACAGCAGAATCCTTAACTAATTTTGAGCAGAGTCTGTAAATTTCCAGTTACTTTTTGCTTGTTTAAAAAATCTCAGTTTAAAATAGGTTTAAAATCTGAGCAAATACATTAAATCTTATATTGGCCAGGCTATTAGTTAAGCTGTAGCAATAAAAGCCAAAATAACTGGCTTGCGTGAAATACAAGTTTAATCCTCTCACATGGAACAGCCCAAGGGTCAGTGTCCCCGTGGGATGTGACTGTGTTTCCACCACGTCTGGGATTCAGACTCTCGCTGTCTTGTTGCTCTGCACCTGCAACACACGTGGCTCACATCTTGTTGCCTAGGGGGCTGCTTTGCTTCCTGCCATCAGGTCATATTCCTGCCAGTGGGAGGAGGGGAAGGGCAAGGAGAGGGCAGCTCTGTCCTTCTGATGGCACCACCCAGACTCTCCCACCACAGAGCAAGTCCTGGTCTCCAGCATTCTGCACTGTCTGCTGTGACCCTTGTGGACAGCATCAGAGGGCTCTCTTGCCATCTGTCTTCTGTCTGCGTTTGTCCAGTGAGAGACACTGGCAGATGGGAGACCGGGAGCAGAGTAAATCTGGATATTTATTCCTCCAGCTCTCCTGTTGGGTCACCATGGGCTACTGTGTCCCTTGACTGAAGGTCACAGCTTGTGTCAGGCAGCCTCTCTGTAGAGCTCCCACTCTGTAGATCTGGAAATCGTGGTGACATCCCCTCTGTTAGTATGCAGGGGTTGTAACCACCCCCTCTGTCACTATCTAGCTGTGACAAGCTCCCTTTGTTATTAGCCCTGGGATGTTGCAGCACACCTGGGGTCCCTACACCCCACCTATACTTTTATAAACAATCTGTTCATAAAACTCTCCTGCCAGGACCCTGGCTGTGTGAATCCTTCCTAACAGCCCCAGGCAGTAGATGCTTGTGTCATCATCCTTGTTTTATAGATTGGAAGCAGAGGGACAGGGAGGTCAAGGGAGCTCCCTAAAGTCACGGAGCTAGTAAATGGTGGAACAAAATGTTCAAACTATAGAACCACATTCTCACCAGCAGAGGGGCCTTGGTATCTTGGAAATGTGGGGAGAATGGACCAGGTTGTGCATTAGTCCCCAGGTCACCATTTACCTGTTGAGGGCTTGGTTTCCTCATCTTTTTGGTTAAGGAGTTTGAGCAGTCCAGGAGTTGCAAACTTACATGTCTGCAGAGGCCAAAAAGTGACATAAATGAGAGGATTGGACTGTTTTATTATTACAAAGAAATGTGCTTTTTCCTTTTTTTCCCCTCTTTAAACAAGCGGCCCTCTTTAGTCTATCTTTCCTTTCTCTGCTAACACAGAGATAAACAGAAATTGTCCTTGGCTGACAGCAACAGAGATTTGATTCTAGTGGCTTAAACAAATGAGAGGTTTATTTCTTTCACATAAAACCACATGTGGAAGTCTGCATTTAAAGGAACAGGTATGGCAGCTCCATGATATCAGGGATCCCATTTCCTTCCAACTTCAGCACAGCTCATCCCTTCTCTCAAGGTCATAAAATGGCTGCTCAAGCTCCAGCCATCATGCTTGTATTCCAGGGAGAATGGCAAGGTTCCAAAGGGTTTTCTTGGAAACCATACTATTAACTTCCACTTATGATGCGTTGGCCAGTCAACCTTGGCACTATTGACAGTTTGGGTGAAATAATTCTTTGCTGTGGGAGGAAGTCCCGTGCATTGCAGGACTGTTAGCAGCATCCCTGCCTCCACCCACTCGAAGTCAGTGGAAGCCCCCCACACTCACCCCACTCCTCCAAGTTGTGACAACCTAAGCCATCTCCAAACACTGCCAAATGTCTTCTGGGGGACAAAGTCACCCTTGGTTGAGAAACACTGGGCAACTCTTGGCTTCACAAGAAGTTGGTAAATGTAATTTTTAAATACATCACCACCCCTAATAGTGCAGGAGTTTCTATTAGTAAGAAAGAAGGGAAGATTGGACATTTGGAGAGAAAATAACAGTCTTTGCCCCAAGAGAACTTATTCATTTACTTTCCTCTTAATCCTATTGAAAAAGAAACAGTGACCCAAGATTGATGATAAACAATGTCAGGTTACAATAGGGAAGAGTGGGGACTGAGGCAAGGAGAGTGAAGGCCCCATCTAATTGGGGAGCAAGATTTTTGTGAGCGGCATTTTACTCACAGGATACCAGTTTGTAGCGACTAGTTTATGATTTCAAAAAATTTATTATGGAAAATTTCAAACCTATGCAAAAAATAGAATCATATGACTAATTCTTGGCTATCCATTTTCAGTAATTATCCACACGTTGCCAGTCCCACTTTTATTCTCTCCTTAAAACCTTTCTTTTCTAGAGTATTTTAAAGCAAATAGCAGGCCTCTTGTCATTTGACCAGTAAATATCCGAAGCACACTTTTTTCTTTTTTTTATGAGACCACCATGCCATTATCACACCTACCCAAATTAACAATGCGATCTCAGTATGGACCAGTTGGTTTCTAAGGGACTTGTAGCTTTGCCATTCTAAGCTCTATTAACTAGAATTGTCCTGGTCTCCTGATCACCCTCCATCTCCCACCACTGTCCCTCCTTCGATTCACATGGCCCGAAACACAGACAGATATACAGACACACACAGAGAAGCACATAGGGGAACATGCAAACACAGAAATACACACACATATATACAAACATACACAGACCAACTCACAAAACACCAAGCACAGACATTCCAGCACACAGACAAATGCACACACAGAAGCACACATGGACACACACACACACACACACACACACATACATACTCCTCAGCTACTTTTTCAAGAATGAAGCACACGCCCTGAATTTAGACCTCCAAGCAATTTAAGCTGGGTTGGAACTAGTGCCTACTTGATTCCCGCCCACACCCTGCCATCTCCCTTGTGCTGACTAATTTTTGACCCTGAACTTGTTCGCTCACCCAGGCCTTCATTTTCTTTTGTGCAAAACAGGGAGAACAATTCCAACTCGCCTCCTGACAATGAGGCAGGGAGTAATGTAATTAAAGGATTGCACCTCCTTGTGCAAGTATTAAAGCGCTTAATAATTACCGTGAAATAGCAGCAATGATGGGGTGATTAGACTCCCCAGCAGAAGCCTGGTGTAAACAAAGGGGGCCAGAAGGGGCTCTGATGGTCTTAATCTTCTGATGGTAGATGATATAAGACCCATAGCCCACAGCCCTCTTGTCCCCAAAGCCTCATACTCGCCTTCTATAAATACATGAAGCCGTTTTTGGCGGCCTGATAAGAGAAGAGGTTCAAAATCCGAATTCCCAACGCAAGCCATTAAGGGAGAAAGATACTTTGCAGCTTGCTTCCTAAATTAGAAGATGATTTCTGGATGGTTAAATGTCTCCCTTTGTCTCTGTACCATTTATACTGCTGCTGACACAGCTCGGGGACCTGGGTGGGGCTTTGGGTCAAGGGGCCAACGGGTCACGCATTCTCGAGGTGCGCCCTTGGAGATGTCCAAACAGGCCCCTGGTTCCTGCCATGCTCTGCTGAGGACACTCCCAAAATATCCAGGGACAGATGCTATTTTTGAGGTCCAGCGTAAAGCCTGCCCTGTGGCCCCCACACAGTCTGCCTTCACTCCAAGCTCGCCTCTAAATGCATCTTGCCTTGCCTTTCGTCCTTCCAGCAAACTTGCTTTCTCCTGGGTTTCTTGAATAAACTGCAAATTAATCTCCTTTCTTCTGGCGTTTTCAGGAGAATCAAACTATCTAGGTGCTTTTAAAAAAAGATTTTTAAAGATCATTTGTTTCTGTTCTACTATTGAATGGAGAAAATAGCAGCTAAAAGTTGGAGATTAAAACTTAATATGGAGCTTTCAAATCCATTTCTTCCTGAGTGGATATAAATCTGTCATTCCCAAAGTCAGTTTTTGTCCTGGAGTCAACGGAAAGGGAAGAATTTTTGTTTCCTGTTGTTGTGCTTTTTTTTTTTTGTGACAGAGTCTCACTTTGTAACCCAGGCTAGAGTGTAGTGGCACAATCAGAGCTCACAGCAACCTCAAACTGCTGGGTTAAAGCCATCGCCCTGCCTCAGCCTCCTAAGTAGCTGGGACTACAGTCACGCACCACCACACTGGGCCAATTTTTGTAGAGACGCGGTGGCCTTGCTATGTTGCCCAGGCTGGTCTCAAACTCCTAGGTTCAAGTGATCCTCCCACCTCAGCTTCCCAAAGTGCTGGGTGGCATGAGCCACCATGCCCGACTATCTGTTGTGCTTTTTAAATACATGTAGGAGGTCAGCATCTTTTGAAGATAGTTTCATTTGCAAAATATTCTAAAGTTGAAAAGAGGGCATTTTTATTTCTGCAGAGTGAGCAAGATAATCATGTAATAAGAATGATGGCGATGATAATAGTCACATAAGAGCTGCATTTACTTGAGTCTCCACTGTGTGCCAGGCACTGTGCTAAGCTGGCCATAAGTATGTGTCACGTGATCTCCAGAGCCCTGTGAAGCAGGAACAGGTGTTATTTCCATGGTGAGGATCTCCAACTCTCCCAGAAAGCCCCTGCTCACCCCAGCTCCACACCCTCACCCCAGGCTTGGGACTCTCTGTCCTTTGGGCCACTTTATGTGTGTACCTTCAGTGCTCTTGCCATGCTCAGTCAGAAGACAGAGGGCAAGAGAGCCCTCTGATGCTGTCCACAAGGGTCACAGCAGACAGTGCAGAATGCTGGAGACCAGGACTTGCTCTGTGGTGGGAGAGTCTGGGTGGTGCCATCAGAAGGACAGAGCTGCCCTCTCCTTGCCCTTCCCCTCCTCCCACTGGCAGGAATATGACCTGATGGCAGGAAGCAAAGCAGCCCCCTAGGCAACAAGATGTGAGCCACGTGTGTTGCAGGTGCAGAGCAACAAGACAACGAGAGTCTGAATCCCAGACGTAGTGGAAACACAGTCACATCCCACAGGGACACTGACCCTTGGGCTGTTCCATGAGAGAGGATTAAACTTGTATTTCACGCAAGCCAGTTATTTTGGCTTTTATTACTGTAGCTGAACTAATAGCCTGGCCAATATAAGATTTAATATATTTTTTCAGGTTTTATATCTATTTTAAACTGAGACTTAAAAATTATCTGGGCATGGTGGCGTGCGCCTATAGTCGCAGCTACTTGGGAGGCTGACGCAGGAGGATGGCTTGAGGCCAGGACTTGGAGGTTGCAGTGAGCCATGATTATGCTGCTGCAGTCTAGCCTGGGTGACAATGCAAGACACCGTCTCTAAAGGGGGAGGGAAAAAAAGGAAAAGTTTTGTTCTACTACATGTTTAAATCTATGATCTTTTTGGAATTTGCCCTGGTATAGATGTGAAGGAGGGATCCAACTTGATTTTTTTCCTTGTGGCTCTGTTTCTTCTTTCTCGTCTCTCTTATCTCAGTGTAAATGTCACTTCCCCTCTGACCACCCTATCCAAAGTATTTTCTGTCTCAGCTTTTTTTTTTTTTTTTTTTTTTGAGGCAGGATCTTGCTCTGTTGCCCAGGGTGGAGTACAGTAGCACAATCATAGCTCACTGCAACCTCCAATTCCTGGGCTCAAGTTATCCTCCTGCCTCAGCCTCCCAAGTAGCTGAAAATAAAGGCACACCAGGACACTCGGCTAATTTTTCTATTTTTAGTAGAGACGGGGTCTCGCTCTTGCTCAGGCTGGTCTCGAACTCCTGACCTCAAGCGATCCTCCTGCCTTGGCCTCCCAGAGTGCTAGGATTACAGGCGTGAGCCACCATGCCCAGCCTAGTTTTTTGTTTTTGTCTTTCATGGAATTGTTTGCAATTTGTAATTTTTAAAACATTAATTTGTCTCCACTCCACCCAACTAAGAGGTCAGCTCCTTGAGGGCCAGGCCTACATACCGTCTTGGTCAGCACTGTATCCCCAGCAGTGTGCACGGTGCCTTGGACGTAGGAGGCTGTCCGTGGTGGGCAACTGTCGTGGTTTTCGCCCTCCAGCAAGTGTTGTCCTGCTTCTGGTACCAGCGCTCCAACTTTCCTTTGAGGGGACCACACCTGTGTGGCTCCGGGTCGCCGGGCTTGGGTAGCGTCGACTCAGGTAGACACGTGACCGATCCGCATACCCCCTGGCAACAGTGATTGGCTGAGATGGGCACATGACCTATGTTCAGCCAGTGAGATACAACCTCTGGACTGATCATTTTATCGCGAGAGGAGCGTCCTCACAGGAACCGCCTCCCAGTGTTCTCTGCGGCACTTGACTTTATGGGACAGAGGGACCATCCTCTTCACCTAAAAAAAAAAAAAATTGAGAGAAATCCTGAGCAAGCAACTTTGATCTCCCTCTTGTTGATCTTGAAAACAAAAGAAAATTACAATTCTACGTCTGGATCTTTGGTCATTCAGTTAAAGAGAAGTTTCCATTTTCAGTCCAGCAAATGTTTCTTAAGCACTTACACTGCGTAAGACATGAGTCCAATTCTGGGACTGGCCTCAGTTCCTGATGATGATGATTCTGCAGATACAATGTGCTTCTAAAATTTCTTTAAATTAAAATAACATATATTGAGTTTTAAGAATATAAGCAGTATAAAGACAAACAAAAATGGCCAAATAATCCTTACTATTAAAAAAATAAAAGTAACACTTGTACATTGTTAGAAAAGTGAAGTCATTCAGAAAGGCTAAAAAAAAAAAAAAAAGCAGTCATAACAAACCATCCCCAAATTATTCAGGGATTAAAATAATTAACTTTTTTTAACACTCATAGACGGAAAAAAAAAGGCACCTAGTTTACTCCCCTATTAACATTTTCCTGTGGTTATTTCTAGAAAATGTATATACTTATATAAGAATATGTAGAAGTACATGCGAAGATATTGTTTTGATTTTAATTTACAAAAATGATTATACCATGTATTGTGTTCTGTCTCTTCATTTGTTCATTTAATAATATGCTGGCCCCTGCCGGGCGTCGTGGCTCATGCCTGTAATCCTAGCACTCTGGGAGGCCGAAGCGGGTGGATCGTTTGAGCTCAGGAGTTCCAGACCAGGCTGAGCAAGACCGAGACTCCATCTCTACTATAAATAGAAAGAAATTAATTGACCAACTAAAAAGATATAAAAAAATTAGTTGGGCATGGTGGCGCATCCCTGTAGTCCCAGCTACTCGGGAGGCTGAGGCAGGAGGATCGCTTGAGCCCCGTAGTTTGAGGTTGCTGTGAACTAGGCTGATGCCACAGCACTCTTACCTGGGCAATAAGAGTGAGACTCTGTCTCCAAAAATAAAATAAAACAAAATAAATAAATAAATGAATGAAAAATAAAATAATATCCTGGCCCCATGACTCAGTAGAAGAATAGACAAGGGATATGAACACACAGTTCACAAAAAAGGAAATACAAATAGCTCATAAACATATGAAAGGATGTTTGACTTTATAATAAGAAAAATGCTAATTAAAAGTACACAGAGAGATCATTTCTCACCTATCAGATTGGCAGAAATCCAAAAGTCTGGTAACATACTGTGCTGGCAAGGCTGGAGGCAGAGCAGCACTCTTCTACCTTGGCAGTGGAGATGGAAATTGGCACAATCACATGTAGGGCAATTTGACCATAGCCATCAAAGTGACAAAGGCATATGCCCTTTGATGTAAGAGCCCCAGCTTCTGAAAATGTATCCTTCAGATATTCTTGCTCAAGTTCAAAATGACATATGCCAGGGGTATGTTTAGAATAGAGGCTTGCTGTCTACCTCCCCCATTATAAGGGAAGCTCTCAGAGGGCAGAGACCCTTGTTGGTCTTGCCCTCTTGTGGGTCTCCAGCTCCTAGAACAGTCATTTGAACATAGCACTTGTCAAAAAGACAGTGCTCACTCAATATCTCTATTCTTGTCTATTTTTCCCAGCCTTCCTTACAATTAAGTTGGAAATACGTGGCTCATTTCTGCCCAATGGGATGTGCAAAAGTGATGGAAGCTACTTCCAGGCCTACCCCTTAAGAAATTTCATGTGACCTTCTAGCTTTCTCTTTGCCTGCTGTGTCCATCTCTAAGACCACCTGCTCCAGATGGAGAAGGGTGCTCAATTTGTATCATATGCAAAAGCAAGAAATAAAGCTTTGCTGTACTAAGTTGATGCAATGTTAGGGTTTGTGATTGCAGCATAGCCTATTCTGTCCTGACAACAGTACTGTGTAGTAGGTGCTTGATGAATCCTTTTTGAACAAATGTATCCCACAATGAGCACTCCTGTGCTTTGGAGGAATGAGAGTAGTCATAGGCTAAATTTTCAGCCATCATGTTGCTGGGTCAAAGAGTACATATTGAATATTTTGGTAGATAGCCCATATTGTCCTCCAGGAAGTTTGCATCAGTTTATACTCCCACTAACAGGCATAATGATAACTAACACTTATAGACTTGCTCTGTTCCAGGCACTACGCTTGGTGCTTTGTACACACAAAATAAATTCACGCAGTAACTCTGTGGTAGGTACTACTATTGTTCCCACTCTTACTGATGGGGAAATGGCAGCACTAGGAAGTTAAATAACTTGCCCAAGGTCACACAGCTAGTAAGATGGGGAGTGTTTGTAAAATGACAAATTCCCAATATCCTACTTCTTCAGATGAACTGGCTAAGGTCCAGGGATCTATTTTTAAAAAAGTCCCCATATGCTGCTGACAGCCAGCCAGCTTTGGGAATTAGGGACCTCAGGGACTTAAGTTAAAGGTGCCAAAGAGTGGTTTTTGTTAAAGCAGTCAAGACATAGAGGCTCCCTGGGCAGGCGTCTTCCTTTCGATGGTCTTGAGTATTTATTGAACAAGAATAAACTGATATAGGTGAATCAAATCTGTATGCTTCTTTCCATTAAAAAGAAGAAGAGGATTTATTTACCTAAATATTTTATAGAATTTTTCAAGCCAGACCAACTTTTTTCGAGGTGTATTATTTAGAATATAATTTCATCTGTGGGGGACAGAGACCTAAAATCAGAGACTGAAATATGATAAAATTTGTCTTTCACACAGAAGCCTGAGCTGGAGTGGTGGCTCTGTACCAGAAGGTTGTCAGGGGCTTAGGCCTCTAACTTGTTATCCCATCCTTACCAGAGCTCTGCCCCCATCCCAAGGTCCAAATGGCTGACCCCCATGTTTGCGGTCCCAGGTTCTGCTCACATCTCATTGGCCATACCTCAGTCACATGGCTGCTTCTTGCTGCAAGGGAGGCTGGGAAATGTAGTCTTTATTCAGACCAGCCATGGGTTTCCAAGGAGCGCCTATCACTATAGAAGGGGAAAACTGATTTGGGGGACAACTTTCAGACTCTACCACTGGAGGAATTATTAAATAGCTTAGAATTTCGATTCTGTAACAAAATAGATTACTCATTCCCAGTAACAGCGCTATGCCATATGGTTTCAGAATTTGAGCTGACCGTGACTGCCAATTTCTGGAGGCCCACTTGGCTGGTCTTGGGCTTTGTGGTATGCTTGATGGTTGTATAATGCAATAAGCACATGTGGGTCCCTCGAGCTAATCAACAATGCTAGATTAGAGCCAACAATGTTTATTTTTAAATTTCTTCTCGAGTGTTGTCATCAGTGTCAGAAGAGAGGTTAATTAATATTTTGCTGATTATGTAAGATGTTACATGTAGAAATCTGAGCTTTCTTTTAGCTCTAGACTTCTACTTCTTTCAGCTGTGTTTTAACACCACGGATATATTGGTGTCCAGAGACTACCTGAATCACCTGCTCCTTATACTGGCTCTACCTGTGGTGTAAATGGAGTCTCCGCCCATCCCCACCTGAATACAACTTGATTCCAAATAAGGAAAGAAGGCAAGTGAATCCTCCTGATTCACAGGACCTGCACTAACTCAGCTAGCTGAATAACTCTCCTTTTTGTGGTGGGTGACTACTGTTTTTATCTGCCGGGCACCTGCTTCCTCTGTCTGTGATAACAACATCACAGTTTTCATAGAGAACACTCCTGGCTCACTGCCATATGGCTTAGATGGGGATGAGCCCACTTCTGGATTTAAATGTGGGCATCTGACCCAGGCCCAATCAGTGTATTCCATTCCAAGGACTCAATTCTGTTCTTTTTTCAGAACTATTGGGAAAGAGGGTTTTTTTCCAGCTAGATTTGAAGCTGGTGCAAAATGGGTTAGAGCTGCTGTTGTCTACATTTGCCATCACTTATTTATTTGTTCATTCCTTCAGCAGATACTTACTGAGCAGCCACTAGGTGTCAGGCAGTATTCTAGGCACTACAGCAGTGAAAAAAATAAGACAAAATCCTTGCCCACAAGGAGCTAACATTCTCATTGGGGGAGGGATACAGACAAACAAATGTGTAATATGAGCAGGAGGCAATAGGTGCTATGGAGCAAAAACCAAAATGAAACAAAATGGAATAACAAAAACTAACCAGGCTAAGGGGGGCAGCAGGATGCAGGAATATGGGGGTTGCTATTTTATATAGGAGGGGCTGGGAAGAACTCTTTGAAGAAGTAGTATTTAAGCAGAGACCTGAGGAAGCGAGGGAATTATCATGTTCCTATCTCAGGGCACAGCATTCAGGTTGGAAAGAATAGCACATGCAAAGGCCCTGAGGCAAGAGCACACTGGACTTGTTTGGAAAATAACAAAGAAGTCAGAGTGGCCAGAGCAGAGAGAGCAAGGAGGGAAGAGAGAAGAAAGAGAAGAGGCTGGGTACCCTGAGGGCACGAGGGAGCCATCAAAGAGGTTAGAGCAGGGGAGGACCCTGATCAGATCTGTACTTTAAGATCTTCCCATGAATCCCCACTGTACTTGGTATAGACTTCTGGAGACTCTGTTTTAGAGCCACTCTAGGGAAGGCCAGAAGGAAATTCAGTGCTTGAGGGAGCCGGGACAACCATAGCGGGGTGCCTCAAGGGTGCTGCGTCTGCACAATTTGATGATGCCGCCCCTGAAGCTGTGCAGCATGGCGGCCCTGCAGAGGATTTCCACAGGCCACCTGGCTGAACGCTCACCTCTGCGCCGCCAGGTAGGCGGCACCGCCTCCCCCGTGCAGCTGCAAACACTAGGTTCGGCGGTCGAGCCTGGCGCTGGCCCACGGCTGGAGGGGAGGAACGGAGGGCCTCAGCCTGCGGCCTGCGGGTGTAGTTTCGGGCGTGGCCACTTGGGGTCACTCTCTCCAAACAGTCGGGAGGAGCGGCGGCGTGCGGGGACTCGGCGCCCTGCCCTGGCGAACGGCTCCCGGGCGGGCATGCTGTCCCCGTCCGCCTGTCACCCGCGGGGGTGCAGAATTCCTGCCGGTCCCCTGGGTCCCTCTCTGCGTGCAGCCTGAGTGCGTCGCCGGCACTGTCTCACCTGAGCCTGCCAGCAGCTATGTGATTTCCCCTTACTGTAGACGGGGAAACTGAGGCCGAGAGCGCTGCCGTGACTCGTACGTCTACTGAGTGGCAGTCAGAATTCCAACCCAGACCTCAGTTAGAAGCTTGGAGTTCGGATGCCTGGCAAGTGCATGGTGGGCCGGTTTGCATTAATTCTCACTTTTTCATAGAATGTGTCCCCGACCGCCTGCCCCCAGACTCCACGAAAATAATGGAGCAACGAAAATAATCTGTTTAGGGAAGTATATGTGGTTTTTTTTTTTTTTTTTGGTCTTTTTTGATGTAGAAGTTAGTTTTCTTCTGATCACCAACAAAACACTGAGGTTTTTACTTAAACTTTTTTTTAATTACCTGCATATACCTTGATAATTTTTTAATTTTTATATATAAACATTTTTTTTGTTTTTTTCTTTTTTCTTTTTTTGGAATGTTCTATGTGTAGATAATTGCTTTTAAAAATTAGGAAATAAAATTAGGTAAAAAGAGCAAAATAAAAGTCACCCTTAATTCACATCGGCCACCCAGAGAGAAGCGCTGCTGACACTTGGGCATTTTTTACTCCCTCATCTATGAATGTGTTAAAAACTTTTTAAAAAATTAATAAGGAAAATGGGCATTTATTGAAACCTTAAAATCTGTACCCCCATAATATGCCGAAATTAAAAAAAATTAATAAGGAAACATATTCACATGAAAAAAATTCAAAAGGTACCAAAAGATTTGCAGTGGCTATTTCCCCTCTAATCCTTACCCCTCTGACCCAGCTCCAAAACTCCCAGCTTCTCACCCAAGAAGCCATTCTGGTTATCATTTCTTGGGGATTGTTACAGAGATATCCAGAATGCAGATAAGCAAACAGGTACATGGATTCCTGTGCTGGTTTCTCTAAATAGAAGCACCCTACACACCCTGTTCTGCGCTGGGTTTTTTCTTTTGTTTTTTTTTTTTAGCTTAACAATGTACCTTGGCGATCTTTCCAGACCCACACTGGGAGAGCATTCTTCCCATATTCCATTGCCTGCATATAATAATTTATCTAACCAGTTTTCTGGTGACAGGCATGGGGGTGTTTCCCGTCTTTTGCTGTGACAAACAATGCTGCAATTGGTATCCCTTTTGCAGAAGTCTTTCCGTGTATGCTCATCTATGTCTGTGGGATAAATTCTTAGCAACTGAATTGCCCAGTCATAAGGCAGGTGCATTTTAAATTTTTGACGCCGATTGTCTAACTGCCTTCTAAGGTTGTAGTCACCAATCATCACTCAGACCAGCAGCCTACGTGAACTCGGTTCCCCACACTCTAGCCAAGGCCCAGTATTATCAGACTTCTTGATCTTGGCCTCGCCCATAGGGGAAAAAGGTGTTCTCCTTGGTTCTGATCTGCATGTCCTTTCTTTCTATGTTGGATTGGGCACTTAAAAATAAGCTCCAAGGCTACATGCATTTCTTTTCTGGTGGCAAAGCATTCATGTCCTTTGTCTAGTTTTCTAATGGATAATTGTCTTTCTTATTGGTCTGCAAGAGCTCTTTGTATACTAAGAAAATGAGGTCTTTGTTTCTCATATGTTATAAATACACATATTTTAAAAATATAGCTATATCAAACAAAAATGGAATCCCATTATATACAATGTTTCTAAGGCCTGTGGTCATCTGACAATATATTGTGGATCCCGGCCGGGCGCGGTGGCTCATGCCTGTAATCCTAGCACTCTGGAAGGCTGAGGCGGGCGGATTGCTCAAGGTCAGGGGTTCAAAACCAGCCTGAGCAAGAGCGAGACCCCGTCTCTACTATAAATAGAAAGAAATTAATTGGCCAACTAATATATATAGAAAAAATTAGCCGGGCATGGTGACACATGTCTGTAGTCCCAGCTACTCAGGAGGCTGAGGCAGGAGGATTGCTTGAGCCCAGAAGTTTGAGGTTGCTGTGAGCTAGGCTGACGCATGGCACTCACTCTACCTGGGCAACAAAGTGAGTGTCTCAAAAAAAAAAAAAATATCGTGAATCCCTTTCCATGTCTGTAAGTGTGTCTTTGCAACAAAATTATTTCTTGATATTTATTGAAAAATCACTCTGGGCACATTGGAAGTTCATCAAAGGCAAATAGCTATGAATGATATGAACACAGCAATAGCAAGTGCCAGAGAGGAGGATTATGAAGCATCTAATGTGTCCCATCTATTATGCGATTTACTTTAATCCTCCCAACAAACAGCACTGTGAAGCAAAATCATCCCCATTTTACAGATGAGGAAACTGAGGCCCAGAGGAGTCATGGGATTTGTTCAAGGCTTCCCAGCTGGTCATTGGAAGATCTGGGATTCAAATCCAGGTCAGTTTGTCTTCTAAACTGCGGCAATGGCCGCCTTCCATTACCTTGAATTCTTACATTCCGGGCCAGTCTGGATTGAGAACAGCCCTGAGGCAAGTCCCTATCCTTCCCGGCTGGGAAGTGTCATGGAGTTCAGCGGCGAGGCCACCAGGAGGCGCCAAGGACACATTCCTCGCCCAGTGTGTGGGGCTGGAACAGGCTGGGTCCAGGCACCCTGGGCCGGGCAGTATTTGTGGACAGATGATCCCGCGGCTGCAGTGGCGCAGGACCAGAACGGACGTCCTCTGCCACACCCGGGGCAGCCTCTTCTGCCTCAGCCTCCCTGGAGGGAATCACCTCTGGCAGCCTTCAGGGACTCCTAAGTATCTGGCCCAGCCCAGCCTCTCCGGGGACTTGGATTCCCGTAGGTCTGGCTTTCCCAGCCTCCGACTGTTGACATGGGGCAGAATAGCCCTTGCTGTGGGGTCTGCCCTGTGCGTGGTAGGATGTTTAGCCATGTCCCTGGCCTCTGCCCACTAGATGCTGGTAGCCCCTCCCCCCAAGTTGTGACAACCCAGGATGTCTCTAGACGTTGGCAAATGTCCCCTAGGGGACACAATTTCTCTTGGTTGAGAACTGCAGCCAAGGACTCAGGGGCTGGGCAGGTCATGTAAATGCCGAAGCCAGCCCTGTGTAAGACGACAGCAGCTCACACCTAGAGAGCCTCACCTGTAGGAAATGACTGGCGCCCCGTGTGGTGGGGACTAACACCATCCCTGCTTCACAGGTGAGGCATCCAGGCGGGAGAGGTGCGGCCTTGCACAGTGCCACACCACCGGTAAGTAGTAGGGCTGGGACTTGAACCTGGGCTGTCAGACTCTAGCATCTGTGCCCTTACCCACTGGGCTCTGCTGTCCCTCAGGAAAATTTGCATTGCCTGTGCACCAGACCCACAGGCACACTCGCCACTTCTGCAAACAAATACCCCTCTCCCAGTTTTCTCTTTATCTATTTTCATTTTAACCACTTTTGACAAAAGGCAATTATGAGAGATTTTTTCATTTCCCTTATAATTATACTATGACTAAAACACCAGCACAAAGTGCCGTAATGAATGACAGCTGACACCCAACCTCAACATCAGAGAGGCATTGTAGAGTGGTGGGGACTGTGGTGTCCCCAAGGGGACATGGGGAGTGGTAGAGACAGTGGTGTCCCACAGAGGACATGGGGAGTGGTGGGGACTGTGGTGTCCCCAAGGGGACATGGGGAGTGGTAGAGACAGTGGTGTCCCACAGAGGACATTGGGGAGTGGTGGGGACTCTGGTGTCCAGGAGGACACTGGGGAATGGTGGGGATGGTGGTGTCCCAGACGGCTCAGCCCTGTCAGTTCTGACACAGTTTCCTGGTATGTGTTCTGTCTCAATTTTGCAGGAGAAGCTAAAAATTAAAGATCTGGATTTTTAATCTGAACTATCCTAATTTTTAAATAATGACAATTAAACATTTAAAACCTTGGAAGGCCAAACAAAACATTCCTGCAACCTAATTTAGCCTGAGAACTGCCAGTTTGCAGCCTTTCAAAAGGGCACATTCAATGTCCAGGAACAAACCCTTTCACACTCTTAGCTGCCCTGTGCCTCTCATCATCATTTATTTAAGTAGTTCTTCTACGTATTCAGTCACCCATTCATCCATGCATGTATTCCACCTACCCACACATCCATTAATCCATCCATCCTTCCATCCACCCATCTAGCCACCTATCCATATGATTGTTCATCTATACATCTGTCCATCCATCCATCCATCCAACCATCCATCCACCCATCCATCTATCCATCCATCCATCCATCCATCCATCCATCCATCCATCCATCCATCCATCTAGCCACCTATTCATCTGATTGTTCATCTATACATCTGTCCATCCATCCATCCATCTAACCATCCATCCATCCATCCATCCATCCATCCATCTAGCCACCTATTTATCTGATTGTTCATCTATACATCTGTTCCATCCATCCATCCATCCATCCATCCATCCATCCATCCTTCCATCCATCCATCTAGCCACCTATTCATCTGATTGTTCATCTATACATCTGTCTATTCATCCAGCCAGCCAGCCAGCCATCTAACCATCCATCCTCCATCTTTCCATCCATCCATCTAGCCACCTATCCATCTGATTGTTCATCCATACATCTGTCCATTCATCCAGCCAGCCAGCCAGCCATCTAACCATCCATCCATCCATCCCTCTATTCATCCACCCATCCATCCAGTAGTTCATTTACTTGGCCATCATCGTTAGGCCTTCACTGTGTGCTAGACCCTAGGCCAGGCCGTGGGGACACAGTGAAGTCTGTGACCCAATCCCTGCCCTCTAGAAACTCATCATCGAGTTTAGCATAATATGAGAATACAGCAAACCACAGACAAGGATGAAAGCAAATGATGTTAAATTCAGACTCTGCTGCCCATCAACTGGGAAACTTTGGGCAAATTATTAAACTGTTTGAGCCTCAGTTTCCCTGCCGTGAGATGTGGCTAACAGCAGCAACTCCCTGCCTGCGCGCAGACACGTCAGGGTTAGATAATGTGCGGACGTGGGGCTGGGGCAGGGCCCCCTCTGCGGACGCTGTGGTGCGATGCATGTTATGCTGCAGAGGGACACGGGGCTGTGGCTTTAGGCAGGGCCACGAGCTCAGTCCAAGGGGCTGTGAGGTTTTCTGGGGGTGGCAGCATCCAAAATGTCCCCCTGCACCTCGAGTTGGCAGAGGGGTTGCTTTGTCATCACTCGGCACAACTTCCCCCTGGTCAGGCTGACGCCCTCCCCGCCTGGCACACGCTGGGTTTCCCACTCTTGCCTCACTGCTAAAGGGCAGCTCTTTCTCTGACTGCCCTGCCTCGCCCGCCCGGCCCAGCCCCCACACCCCCTGCCCCAGCTTGTGGGAAAACTCTATGGAACAGAAAGGGCTCGCGGGCTCCTTCTTCTCTAAATTTGTTATTTTTTCCCATTTAAATTGAAACCATGCTTATTAAAGAAGATTAGGAAAAAAACACATCAAACGAGTAAAGAAGAAAAATTATTTTCTGTCCCATCCCTCTAATGCAACCACACTAAACAATCTGTTGTTTTGTTTTTTCCTTTTCCTTAAGCCAGGGTACTGGGCTGTGTGTGTGTTTACATAGTTGTAAATCATGCTGCTCAACCACTTAGTGTTTTCAAAAACTTTTCCACTGCAGACAGTTCCTGACTTACGACGGCTCATCTTGGATTTTCCACTTTACGATGGTCTGAAAGCGATAGGTATTTGGTAGAAACTGTACTTCAAATTTTGGATTTGGATCTTTTATTCGTGGTGTGGTATGTGGCACTATACTTTACATGAGGTATTCAACACTTGATTATAAAATAGGCCTTGTGTTAGATGATTTTGCCCAACTGAGGGCTCCTGTAGGCGTTCTGAGCATGTTTAAGGATGTTCAGTAGGTCAGGTGTATTCACTGCTCTTTTGACTTATGATAATTTCAACTTGCGGTGGGTTTATCAGGACGTAGCCCCATTGCAGGTCGGGGGGCATCTGTATATCGTAAGCATATCCCACAACTGCTCGTTTTCATGAACATGTTTGAAGGGCTGCATTTGTTCATCCTACTATGGTCTGTGGAAAGAGAGGTTGAAATGATACTGCCAACATTTACTGAGTGCAAACTCAGTGCCAGATGCCATTCTAAGCACTTGTATTAAATTGCTTCTTCCTCACAGCCACCCTACGAGGCAGACGCCATCACTGTGCCCATTTTCCAGAGAAGAAAACTGAGGCCCCAGGTTGCACAGCTGAGACAGAGCCAGCATTTGAATGCAGCTGGGTCAGCCATAGAGCCTGGGCTCTGGCCATGATGGGCTACTTTGGGTCACCAAAAAACAAGTGACCCCAATTCAGAGTATTGAAACTGGCCCAGGGAATGTACAAGAGCATGTGACATTTCCAAAGAAGCACTGGGCCCATCTAGGGGTATCAGGGAAGGCTTCCTGGAGGAGGAGGTGACGTCCCAGCTTAGAGTTACAGGACTAGTGGGTGGTGGGAAGTGAGGCGCTGCTGGCAGAGGGAGCAGCAGTAGGAGGCCCCGAGGACGGAGCGGGCCAGGAGTGTTGCCAGGCTGGCACCGTGGACCCCGCTGGAGGAGCTGAGCAGGGAGGAAGTGTGCAAGGGCCGTGAGGCCTGGGAGCCTTGAGAAGCCCTGAGAAGCCCCAGAGTTTTTGTTTTTGTTTTGAAAAACAGTCTTGCTGTGTTGCCCAGGCTGGCCGTGAACTCCTGGGCTCAACGATCCTCCTGCCTCAGCCTCCTGAGTGGCTGGGTTAGGCAGCCCGGAGGGGTTTTCAGCTGGGCTGTGGACCACCCTAGGCCGCCAGACAGTGCCCCTGCTCTGGCCCCAGAGTTCTGCCCGCCCGTTTCCTCTCTGCCCTCCTAGGCTGAAGAAAGTTGTAGAGGGTGGAATCCGGACTGATCTGTTCACCTCTGTGGCCTAGACCGGCACCAGGCAGGTGAGGTCCCAGGAATGTGATAGCTACAGACACCACGCGGTGATCCTGTGCCGAGATTGTGCCAATGTTGTCTGCACAGCCATGGAGACAGGGCCCCTCCTGGGGCCACTCAGCTCCTTGGGGTGCGAGGCCTCTTTGGGAAGTGCCCGTGTCTCTAGGTTTGCCGGGACTTTGCTCTGACTTGCCCCTGGCGTCTTGTTTGGTTTAGGAGAGGCCCAGTAAATAGGCGCCATGCTCAGCGCTCCGGTGCTGTCCTGGCAGTCAGAGCAGCAGGCAAGGAGCAGGTCTGTGCGGGGCCACCTTCCTGCCTCCTCCCCCTCCCCTAACCGGTCTGGGGCCCAAGCTGAGTCCAGCCTCCTCCGGCCCCCTGCTGGCTCTGGAGGCAGGGAGAGACTTGGGGAGTGTGGCCCCTCCTCTGCTTGGCTGAGGGCCTCCAGGGTCACTGTTTACCCTGCACCCCTCAGCCAAGCCTGCTATCTTATCAGCTCAAACACTCAGAGTTCAGGCCAAGAAGCCAAAGTCAATTTTGAAAAAGTCTTTAAAAGGCCAAAACACAAACACCAGCAAGGGTGGGGTGGGATGAGGGGGGTGAAGATGAGGTTGGGGACAAGTAAGCTCCGGGGTTCCCTTAACAGACTCAAAAGGACTCCGTGATTTTCCTGGGCTCTAAGGTGCACACAAGGACTGTCACTGCAGCACCGTCTGCAACAGCAGAAGACCAGAGTCACCCTAAGTGTCCATCGCTAGGGGAGTGGACACACCAACAACTGTCCCACAGTCTTTAAAAGAACGGGGACACTTATTCCTGTGTTTTTTATGTATGACGTGTGCAGTTTTCTGTGTAGTTAAAGCGCACAAGCACACACACACACACACAATGTGTGATATGGAAAAATCTCCAAGATAGATTATAAAGTAGAAAAAAGAAAAAGCAGAGATATGAAGCAGTGTGTGTAATCAGATCCTTTTTGTGTAAACAGGAACCAGGAAGATATATATCCCCACCATCAATGAAATAGTATAGAAATAAATAAACTAACCAGAATACTAGTGATTCTGTTCCAGGCAAATGGCCAATAACACAAAAGGGGCTGAGAGTGTTGCGAAAGGTGCGGTGACTTTCAGTGCAGATCAGATTATCACAGATGTAGCCGAGGGGGAATCATGGGCCTACCTGGAGTCTACGCAGTGGAGCTGACCACATTCAAACAGAGCCTTCAAAGTTCTCGCGTGTTTTATAAATCTGGCTGCTTAAAAACGCTCTTTCAAAAACATCATCTCGTTGAACCTCCTAAGGATTCCACGAAGTAGAATTGGATCACTATATAGACTGACCAATTAATTAATTCAACAAATATATACTGTTTTAGGTGATGGAGCTAGCAATAAACAGGAGAATTAAGATCCCTGATCTCATAGACTCTATGGGTCTAGAGGGAGAGCCAAAAAAATAAGCAAACAACAACCACAACAATGCAAAAAACCAAATATGACCATTCAGAAAGTGAGAGATGCTGGGAAGAACATGAGACCAGGCAATGTAATCGATGATGGCTGGTGTGGGGAGTGGTCAGCAAGGGGCTCTCCAAGGAGGTCACATTCAAACTGAGACATGAATGAGGAACAGGAACCAACCACAAGAAAATCAGGGAGAGGATAGCTCTGGGCAGCAGGCGTGGCCGGTGCAAAGGCCCTGAGGCTACACTAAGCTTTGCTGTGGGAGGAACGGAATGGTGGCCAGTGTGGCTGGAGCTCAGAGAGGAAGCCACATCTTTTGCAAAACCCACACACACACACCTTAGAGAGAAAGGGACGAGAGGAGCAGGTGGAGAGGTGGGCAGGGGCTGATCCTGTGTCTTGTGGGCTTGGTAAGGAGCCCAGACGAGAAAACCAAGGTTCAAAGAGGTTCATTAACTTGCCCACAGTCACATATTTAATAGTGGCTGAGCCTGAATTCAGACCTGGGTTCTCAACCTCACGTCCCGGCCTCTAAACATTCACATATGTGCATATGGGGCAAAAATTAAACATGTATTCCCATCTAGCAGAGCAAATGCTCTGAAAACATGTATTCCCATCTAGCAGAGCAAATGCTCTGAAAACTTCGTGCATGTGTTTTACTTGCACAAAAAGTGCACTCGCCAAACGGGCAAATTTGTGTCATTGGCACACAGATGCATACGGAACATCCCAGAACCGCCCGCCCTCCTGTGGCTCCCGGCGGATCCCCGCAAGGTTAACTGCTATCCCGATTCTAACCGCACAGCCTACTTTTGCTGTTCTTGGACTTACGGGGATGGAGTCACACAGTGTGGCTCCTCCCTGGCTGGCTTCTCTCCCTCAGCGTCGCGGCCGGAGCTCCCGGTGCTCCAGGGGACTTCACTGACACCGAGGGAGCACGTGGCCTCCCAGCGCTTCCTCCCCGCACAGGAGGCAGGAGAAAGCAGCTCAGGCAGAAGCAGTTCAAAGTACGTTGTTACGTGGAAAAGTCGGGTACAAAACAACGCATGTAAAACAATCTTTGTTGGGGGAAAAAGGTTTCTTTTTATGTAGAGTCAAAAATGATCTTGAAACGTGCGTTCGATTTTCTCTCAACCGTGGTGCGTTACAAACTCTCAGGAAATTGAAGCAGCCACTGGACGGGGGTTATCTTGTGCTTGGAGACACGCTGAACAAAAATACAGGATCTGCCGGCCGCACTCGCCCGCGCCGTTCAGGCCGTCTTTCTCCCCTCGCCCTGTCTGGCCCACAGTGCATTGGCGAGAGCCTGTGAGTTAGTGTTTCCTGGAGGTTCTCCCTGCAGGTGGATTTTGTGTTTCCCTATTCATGCTACCTTTTCTGCAAAGAATAAGAACATGACTTCTTGTGTATTAAACAACCACAGCAGCAGCAACAAAGTGAGCAGCCAAAGGGGCACTGGCTTCCTGCAGTACCCAAGGGGTCATCCAGCCTTTTTGGTGATTAAAGGGGTAGCCCCGAGGCCAGACTGGGGTTCGAATCCTGGCTTTGCTCCTTGCCAGCTGTGTGCTTTGGTTACTTTTGCTGCATAACAAACACCACCCAAACACAGCAGCATGCAACAGCCATTCTGTTCCCTTGGATCTGTCGTGCACGCGTCCTGAGGGTCGGGGATACACATGGGGCACAGTGAGAGGGCTTGTGTCTGCTCCACGATGTCTGGGGTCTCTGCTGGGACAGCATGAAGGCTGGGTGACTCGATGGCTCGGGGGGCTGGCATTTGTTAGTGGGTCTTCTCTTGTCTGTCTGGCAGCTGGCTCCTCAGCTGGGCTGTCAGGAGGGCACCCTGCGTGTGACTTCTCCGTGTGGCCGGTTCACGTGGGCTAGTGCGGGTTTCCTCACAACATGGTGGGGACAGGGAGTGACTGCTAATGGGTGTGAGGTTTGTTTTGAGGGCTGTGACAGTGTTCTAAATTTAGACAGTGGTGACGGTTGCACCGTGTGAATGTACCAAAACCCACTGGATTGTGCGCTCTAAAAGGGTGAATCGTATGGCATGTAAATTATATCTTGAGAAACCTGTTAATTTTATAAGAGAAGAAAAGACGATGAGGATGGGAGACACTGCCGTGAGCAGCCTGAGAAAACACAGCCTGCCATGCTGTGTCGGCAGGAGCACGTCAACCTCTGAGGCCTCAGTTTCCCCTTCTGTCAAATGGGGCTGTTTAATAATCAAACAAACTCATAGGGTCTTTAGAGGGTTGACAGTGGTGATGTCCATGAAAGCTGAGCCTAGTAGCTGGCACACAGTGAGTGCTCAGGAAATGTTACCATTTCAAATAATAAAGTGTCACGAGGCAGTAGAATGTATGTATTGTTAAAAGAGTGGGTTCTGGAGCCAAACGACAGATTTGAATCCTGGCCTCCTGGCGGTCAATTCCATAACTGCTCTAGATCTCAGTTTCATTATCTGCAAAATGGAGTTAACGGCAGTGAACACCTCATAAGTTGCTGTGACAATCAAATGAGTTAATAGCGAGAAAGGCCTGGCGGCGGTGCCTGTATATTAACACGATATAGTACGGCACACAGCAGGTACTAGGTAGTTGCTGGCTGTTCTTCTGGCATTTTCTCTGGCCTCCTAGTGCGGGTTAGGAGGGCTGGAGCCCTCACATATTAATAATAGTAATGAAAACAACATCTCGAGCAGCTCTCCTTATCCGCTGTTTTGGAGGAAGGGCGGGCATCCAGCCGAGGGGCCGGCGCTCCCAAGGGAGCAGAGGGCCAGGGCTGCAGGGAAGGCACAGGGAGGCGGTGAACGGAACCAGGCCGGACGTCCAAGGAACTGACAGCCCAGGCTGCGCCCTGGGATTCTTGGATTCCCTTCTGCTTTCTTACCGAGAATCCTGGAAAAACAGGCTTGTCCCACTGGAGGGCAAATGTGCTTCTCTCCTCCTTCTTGGCTCTGTGGGGGTGACTTTCTTCCAGCTCTGCTCTTGTTCCCTCCCAAGGTTCACAGCAGCAGCAGACACCTGACACTTGGGACAGCTCTTCTGTGGCTTCCCTGTAAGGGTTATGTCGTTAGATCCACTTTACGGAAGAGGACATTGTTGGGGGCAGAAGCCATTTGCACAAGGTCATGCAGTAATGAGCAGCAGGACCCAGGTGGGTCTCTGTCTTTCATTCTTCCTTAAAGCTTGCCGAGGACCAGCTCTGCTCCCAGCACAGTCTGGACTCTGGGGAGATAGCAGTGAGTGGAGAGACGTCACTGCGTCCCCCCGGAAGCCGGTGCTCTGAGAGAGGAGACGGACAGGTAAACAACAGGCGATGTCTACTGTATACGTGGCCGCTGGCTAGACCCACCCTGCAGAGTGAGGGACAAGAGCACTGGGGAATGCAGGCTACTGCAGCAGTGTGGTCAGACTCCAGAAAATGAGGGGAGAAGGGACAGGAATATCTGGGTACAGGGAGCGCTGGGCAGAGGGAACACCAAGTGCAAAGTCCCTGAGGCTGGATTGAGCAAGGACAATGTGGCTGGAGCGAGCAAGTGAGGGGGGTTTCTCCTAAGTACTGAAAAGAGCCCAGAAACATGTACGTTCAGACTCCAACCCCGTCCAGCCACCACCAACCTGCACCTGGACTAGGACAGGTCCTCACTGGTCTCCAGCTTCCACCCTTGTCCCCCACCCCACCCCTACACACACGCCGTCCTTCTCCACATTCAGCTAGAGGGAGTCTATCAAAACCTAAGTCCAACCATGTCCCTTCTCTGCTTAGAATCCTCCATGGCTCACACCTTACTTAGAATAAAAGCCAAAGATCCTCTGAGGCCCTACAAGATTGGTTCCTTGTCACCTCTCTGACCTCATTTCCACTTTTCTTCCCCTCACTCACTCTTCTCCAGCTGAACTGGCCACTTGGCTGCTCCTCAGACACACAAGGAACAGTCCTGCCTCAGGGCCTTTGCACTTGCTATTCTTGTTGGCTGGAATGTTCTTCCTGCAGATATCCTCAATGCTTGTTTCCTTACCTGCTTCTGGTCTTTGCTCAAATGTCACCTTCTCCATAAGGCTTCCTCAACCACACCTAGCATGTCCTCTCCCCCTGTGCTGTGTGGTTTTTCTCCCTAGAACCTGCCACCATCTGGCATTTATGTATTTTCTTCTGTTGTCCAGCATCCCCCAAGCAGGAACATAAGTTCCATGAAGTGAGGAATTTTTGTCTGTTTTGTTCTCAGCTATACCCTTGGCACATAGTGAGTGCTCAGTAAATATCGGTTGGGGAATGAAGTACAAATGAAATAAGTGGGTGAGGCAGTCCTGATGGACGGTGACGGGGTGTGGTGGGGACTGTGGCAAACTGGGAACCTTTGCCCCATCTGAAAGGGGCAATGACCACTGGTTGGAGCCTAAAGTTTTCCTGTGGAATGTGGGCCCAGGATGGCCAGAGCTCCAGGTGTTTCAAGGGAAGCCAGAAACTTATATATTTATATTAAATGTCTTGATTTTAGAATGACTGCTGATCAGAAATCTATACCCGCTACTTACTTAGGTGGGAGACTGCTGTTTGCGACCTCTAACCTGAGTCAAAATGCTTCCAGATGGGTTTCACAGAATCCCAAATTTCTGGGAAATCCGACTGGAGTTCCAAGAGAAGGCGTTTCACAAGTGGACTCAGCCTTGAGGTGTTTCTGTGAAATGAATGGTGTCTTCGTATTGAGATTCTTGAGACAATTTGATTTCAGGATGAGCTGTTTTCTCTTCTCCTAACTTGAAATTCCACCCTCGGATTCCTGCTGGGCCTGGGCATCTTTCCTTCACTCTGGAGCAAAAATCTAAGGTAAAAATTGGCAGAACGTTGACTTCAGCGTGACCCAGAAAAGGAACAGCATAAGACAGAAGTAGTGAGACTTGTTGCCCCTCCCACAACTTCCCCCCAGCCCTGCCCCTTCAGTGTTTACTTATCCCTTTCACTTCCTATGAATTCTTGGTGTCAGATTTGTTGACGACAGGGCTGCCTCTCGGGACGTCCCCTGCACAATTCCAAGGGTTACAGTCCACAAAAGGCCCTGAGAATGGCGCCCCCTGGAGTTGTGCTGTGATTGCCTGTGCAGTCATATGTTGCTTGTCGACGGGGATATGTTCTGGAAAATGCGTTGTTAGGCAATGTTGTCACTGTGTGAACCTCACGGAGTGCACTTAAACCCGGACGGCACAGCCGACTACACACCTAGGCTGCATGGGGTGGCCTGTTGCTCCCGGGCTACAAACCTGTACAGCATGTGACTGTCCTGAATACTGTAGGCAACTGTAACACAAATTGTAACACAATTCATACAAATAAATACTTGTGTATCTAAACATATCTTAACATAGAAAAGGTCAGTAAAAATACAGTATTATAATCTTATGGGACCACTGCCGTATATGTGGTCTGTTGTTGACCAAAACGTTGTTATTCGCCACATGACTGTCCATGTTTATTTAGATCATCACATTTTTATTGACTGTGGCATAGGAATCCTTTTTGCTTTGGCAAATGTTCTCTGCTTTGCAAAAGTAACACGAGCACATGGAGAAAAACTCCAACCGTGTAAAAGGGCACATGGCGAAAAATATTTCTTCCTTCTTCCTTCATCTGATGTCTCCCAGTTCCCCTGTTCAGAAGCAATTTTTGTTGCCAGTTTTTAGTGTGTCCTTTCTTACAGGTATAAACAAATCTCCCTCTCTCTCTCTCTGTCTCTCCTCCACACGCACAATTGATCTCTTTCACTCTCCCTCTGTATGTATAGAGTCTTTCCTTGATATCAGTGGAGGATGGACTCCAGGATGCCCACGGATACCAAAATCCACAAATGCTTCAGTCCCTGATATAAAATGGTGTAGTATTTGCATATAACCTACACAATCCTCCTGTATAATTTGAATAACTTCTAAATTCCTTATAATACCTAATACAGTGTAAATGCTATGTAAATATTATGTAAATGCTATGTAAATAGTTGTTATACTGTATTGTTTAGGGAATCATGACCAGAAAAAAGTCTGTAGATGTTCAGTGAAGACGTACTTTTTATTTATTTATTTTAATTTTTAAAAAAATATTTAATTTTTCTTTTTACTTTTCTTTTCTCTAACATTAACATATGTAGCTGATAATATTTATTTATTTATTTGAGACAAAGTCTCACTCTATTGGTTTTTACATTTCTAAAAGATTTTTGAAAAACTGTAAGAATAATGTTTTATGACACATGAAAATTATATGAAACTAAAATCTCAGTGCATAAATAAAGTTTTATTGAGACACAGCCTAGTCCATTTGTTGACATGCCGTCTGTGGCTGCTTTTATGCTATGATGGCAAAGTTGAGTGGTTCCAATACGGACAGTGTGGCCTCAAAGCCTGAAGTATTTAGTATGTGGCCCTCTGCATAAAAAGTGTGCCATCCCTGGTTCATGTTATACATACCTTTCTGTGTCTTGCTTTTCTCATATAATGATAGATTGGAGGTCTTTTGGTATCAGCACACAGCGATCTACTTCTGTGGTCCTCCACCCCCCGCCCACAGAGCAGGCTCTGCCTCCTCTTCCATCCCTGTCCGAGGGAAAGTTGTCTTTTTGTGAAACTTAGGAACCAGGCCGCACAGCTAGAGGTGAGCAGCAGGCAAGTGAAACTTCATCTGTGTTTACAGCCACTTCCCATAGCTTGCATCCCCATCTGAGCTCCATCCAAATTGTCTTCCTTGAAACCTGTCCCTGGTTTCAAGGTGTCAAAAAGATTGGGGGCCACTGATCTACCTCATTCCTATTAACAAATGCCATAACACATGTCATTGTATCACTGGGCCACAATTTATCCAGTTCTTATGATGGACTCCCAAGTTCTTGTTTAAATGAAAACATTTCATGTCTTAGGAAAATTTGAAAATTCTTCACAAGGACAAGAAATCTCAAAGGGTCACTCTGTTTATTATTTATATCTTATTCTTTCAGAAACTGGATTTGTGGCAGCTTACAAGAGGAGGGGCAGACCCCACAAAACCGTAAAACCACTGAGACAACGGAGAAATACCAGGAAAGGACTGGAGTCGAGATGCCTGCCCTTCCCGGCTGTGGAAGCCTGGATTATATTTGAGCTCAAGGCTTTATTTGAATCATATTTGCAGATGATGCAAAAATCTTTGTGGGTGTTTATTTTCCTCAGGAGAGTGGTTGAAGGCAGAATGCCTCTGAGAAGTTGGAAAAAGTGCCAAACAGGATAACACAGAACACTGTTTCTTATTCTTACAATTGCTAAATTTTGAAGCAAATGATCTATTATTTACTTAATATTTTTCTTTAACTCATGTTTTTTTCAAAACTCCTTGAATATAGTTGTTTTGTCCTGAGAAAAATACTCACGAATTCATGGTTTTGATTGATGTTAGCTATATAGGTATCTTAAAAACACACTTAAATATGTAATAAATACTAAAATTATTAAAAACACAAGCACTCACACAGCTTCAGCCATGTACCACCTACAATAATCTCGCAAACAGGATTGTGCTTACTTGCGCTAAATGTTTTAAAATGCTGTGGTACCAGATACTGGGAGTTACCTTGCCAACTGCCATTCCCTCTTCCCTCCTGCTGACAGACCCGTGGCTACGTTCAGCCAGCCATGTGTCTAGCCCGAGGGTAAAAAACACCTTCGGTTTCTGCCAACCGTGGCCATCTTATTCTCCGAGACCTGTGATTGGTCCAGAGGTGGTCACATGACCCAGTTTGGCTGAAGGGAAGCACTGCTATTTTCCTGGACCTGTGATTGGTCCAGAGGTGGTCCCATGACCCAGTTTGGCTGAAGGGAAGCTCTGCTGGGGACTTCTGGGAAAGAGTTTCCTCTCTGAGGAGCACAGCGATGTTTGCCCCTTTCCTTCTGCGCCTGCTGTGGACACTGTTATGTGAAGAGGTGATGGGTGAGCTGTGGCAACCATCTGGGACGTGAGGACCAGGCTGGGGACGACTTGCTGACTAGCTACTGATGGGACAGAGGGACAGGGCAGAGAGCCCAGGGCCCTTATGACAACCTTGAAGTGCCAAATACGCCATGAGGCCTCCGGTCTCCAGAGACCTTTTAAACAAACAATAAATGTTGTTATAATCTGAACTGCTGCAGGGAAGCCTCCGAACCTCTCCTAATAGGCCCAGCTGGCTCCCGGCTTTAGAGACGGCCTCCAGGGTCAAACACAGGGTCATATTCCAGCTCCATCAAGCACTCCTGGCTCCGTTACCCCAGGCAAATGGCTTAAATTTTTAAGCCCTAGTTTTCCTGTCCATGAAATGGAAATAATAATACTTGTTATCTCAGACAGTGATATTTGAGAAAAAAATTTTAAATTCGTTTAAAGCACTCGGTGCTAACTGCTATCATCATCATCATCACGTCTTTAGTATTCATACAGTCTTCTAAAAAAGACAACATGGACAGAGACAGGAAGTTGACAGCACCTAATTAAAGGCCACTAGCCAGGCACAAGATGAGCAGAAAATGATCTGAGTGTCAGAGCTGACCGCAAGCTGAAGATGAGTCAGCACTGCAGAGAACAAGCTCGATGCAAGCGTGGGGTGCTGGATGGGCAGACTCCTGGCTGTGAACCTTCTGCTCCACGATGCATGACTCACACCTTTCCAGGAGCACTGGGTCTACATTTGATCATCTCATCTTTTTAAAGGATGTGGGGAACCTGTCCTGGGTCCAAAGGCATGGGGGCAGGTGGCCCAGGGCTATTTGCGTAAGAGACCGGGAAGATTCAGGGGCAAGGACGTCACTGTCTCCATGAGAAGTGTTTAATTTACAAGGCAGCTGTTTGGCCATGCTTACAGCATCTTGAATGAAAGGAAATGGACCAGGAGGTGTGGCCTGAATACAGGGAGCAGTGGATGGTGAGTCACTAAACTTGTGACCCCACCGTGTGACCCTGGGGAAGTTTTCTGTGCACCCCAGACCTCAGTATCTCCATGTGGATAGTGGGAATCTGGGCCAACCTGTGGTCCTGAGGAGGTGACTGTGATGGGAAGAAATGCATTTAGCTGCAAGTAACTGGAAATTGTGGCTCAGACCAGCAAGTGTTTATGTCACCCAATACAAGTTCAGAAGGAGGCAGTTGTTGGTCTTGATGCAGGGGCTCCAGAAGACCAGGGTCATGCTGGCATCCCCGCAGTCCTCTTGGCTTGTCCCTTGGATGCAGGATGGCTGTCCAGCGCTTCTCAAGGTAGGAAGAAGAAACCAGGGTAGCACCAGCCACATCTGCCCCCTCCATCCTGAAGTCAAAGCTTTTCCAGAACCGCAAGAACTCTCCGTATGTGCACACGCTTGCAGCTGGGAAAGTGAGCGTCCGGGCACCGCTGTGAAAATGAGAGTGGGAAGGGAACTGGACTTGGTCTGCTGACTGCTGGATCTCAGGGCAGCAAACCCCTAATCCTGGTCCCCAAGGCCTCGGGCATCCAGAGCCCCTGTTGTCCTTCTGTGGCTCTGCCAGCTACAAGGGCGGTTGCGAGAACAAGACCGGAATTCGGATCCTGGCTCTCACACTGGCTCTCTGTGGGACTCAGAGTCACTTTGTGTCTCTGAGTCTCCATTTCTCACCTGAACAGAAAATACAATCCGGCTCCCAGCCACAGCTCCAGGGCCAGCCCCGTGGGCGCACAGCCTGTGCGGTCACACAGCACCCAGGCTTGGTTCATGCTCTGCCAAGGCCATCCTGAAATTCCCAACACTTTTAGAATAAGGGCTTCTGCATTTTCGTTTCCCACAGGCCCTGCTGGCTCTGTAGTCGGCCCTGTGTGGTCTCCCACGCCCCGAGTGGACTGCTTCCCTCCTTGCTTCCAGCCATCCTCTTCCTCCCCCTCACCGCCTTCTCTCCAGGTCTCCACTGTTACCTCGGGGCCTACGCATGTGCTCTTCCCTCTATTTGAAACACGCCTTCCCCACCCCTAATGTATAATTAATTCACATTTGTCCTTCAGAACTTGGTTCTGTCGTTCTTCATAATAGCACCGCGTTTGCTTAGCACCTGCCACACGCCAGGCCTGTTCCCAGGGTTTGTCACCTCTTACTTCATTTGTGTGAGGGGGGGTTCCTTATGATCTCTGTTTCATTGACAACACATGAAGTGACTTTCTGACAGATACTGAGTACTTATAATACTATGTGCCAGGTCTCGTTCTAGTTACGTAGGGTATAGTGGTGCAGTCAATAAATGAAACCTCTCCTCTCACGAAGGTTATGTTCTAGTGGGGAAGACAAACGACAGAAGATTATCAAATAACCAGGTAATAATATAGTATTAAGTAGTGGTAAGTGCTGTGAAGGAAAATAAGTAGGCTAAAGAGATTAAGAGTGAAGTGGAGTGTGGGTTTAGCTAGGATGGTCGAGGAGGGCTCTGTGGAGATGACATTCGGGCACAGGCCAGGAACAGATGAGAGGGAGCCATGCAGGTAGCTAGGCTGTTCTAGGGAGAAGAATATTCTGGGCCATTCCAGTGTTACTTCCACAAGGAAACCCTCTGGCACCCCTGAGTCTAGATCAGGCCCTTCACTCCGTGCTCTCAGAGTTCCCCCAATTCCTGCAACCTAATTTGTTGTTTAATTCGAATGCCAGCTCCATGTAGGCAGGGGGTGTTTGTTTTGTTCCCTGCTGTGTCCCCATGGCCTGCACGTAGTAGATGCTCAAGAAATATTTGTTGAACAAATGACCAGCAGGCATTGTGGGTGTGGCTCTGCTTCCCTCTCCCTTAGTTTTCTCTCTCCCTTAAGCAACATCTTTTTGTTATCTGTAGTATAAACTGCACACTTGGGTAAGATTGCATTTGAAGACTAGATTCTGGGACCACTAATAGTTTGAGAGATGGCCTGTTGGGCCATCCGGCTGTGACACACTGTGATTCAATGACTTAAACTTGGAGGGCACAGGGACCAAATCAGTTGGGATGCTTTCGCTTACAAATAACAGAAAACCTCAACTTAAGGTATAAGACATTTATTCATATAAATTTCATTCATATCTGATGAAATTTATTCATCAGATAATAAGAAGCTGAGACATTGGGTTGTTTAGAATTAAATGATTCAGCGGATAGCTCACAGTGTTGTTGGGGACATGGGCTCTCTCCATCACTCCAGCCCGCCATACCCGGCAAGTCTCCAGGCTGGCTGCCCACCTAGTCCTGTGAGGCTTCTGGCCCCCCAGGCATCTTATCTGCCCAAAGTCCAGAAGAGAACAGACGCCCTCCTTCTGGTGTCAAGAGCAAGGCACCTTTCCCAAGAGTCCCTGGTGGACTTCCTGCAGCTTCTACTCTCACTGGCCAGACCAGGACACACACCTACCTTTAAGCCAATCAGTGGCAAGGGGAATGATTGGCTTAGACCAATCACAGCCCACTTTCTAGGACTAGAGCTGGGACCTGCCCTGGCCTCCAAAGCACATGGCTACTGGGAAGAGGGGAGGGACTAGAGTGGAACTGGGGGTATTCAGAAGGAAAGGGCTGGCCACAGAGCGTATTGAGATTCAGGGAGGTGAGGAGAGGGGTTGGGGCCTCCCGCCTGTGCACAGTCTCTAGGGCATAATCTCCAAGGGGCCTCAGTTTCCCAAGCCCAACTTCCTCTGCTTTAGGTGGCACTAGGATGCTGGGCCTGTGGTTTCCCAAGAGCCCACCAACGCAGGGAGGGGGGTGTCCCTGGGCTGGAGGTCTGTCCTGTTTCTAACGTCAGGGGTGTGATCCTGGGCGTGGGGTCCCTGTCACTGCTTGATGAAGGGACAACCACCCAGCACTGCCTCCATCATCCACGCTGCTTCTGCCGTGTCTACACCACATGGAACTCACCACCCTCACTCCAACAGTTTTGTGGGTTTTTTTTTAAATGTGAAAACATTTTTCTGACCACACTCTCCAGAGCTGAGCAGCAAGGCCTTCCTTGAAGAGGGTTCCAAGTGGCACATCATCATGGGTCCACCGCCATTTTTTGGCTTCAATATGTTTTTTTGTTTTGTTTGTTTGTTTTGTTTTGAGACAGAGTCTCGCTTGTTGCCCAGGCTAGAGTGGATGCCGTTGGCATCAGCCTAGCTCACAGCAACCTCAGACTCCTGGCTCAAGCAATCCTTCTGCCTAGCCGCCCGAGTAGCTGGGCTTACAGGCATGCGCCACCATGCCCGGCTAATTTTTTTTTTTTATATATATTAGTTGGGCCAATTAATTTCTTTCTTTTACTTCTGTATTTATAGTAGAGACGAGGTCTTGCTCTTGCTCAGGCTGGTTTCGAACTCCTGACCTCGAGCAATCCGCCCGCCTCGGCCTCCCAGAGAGCTAGGATTATAGGCGTGAGCCACCACGCCCGGCCCAAATATCTGTTTTTGTCTTCAAATATCTGTTTACCATTTCTTGGTAGAATATTTTGGGGCAAGACTTTAAAATTTTGGCAGTGTGAAAGTGAAGTAGTCCAGCAGAGGGGTGAAAAGCTCAGGCTTTAGAGTTAGAAGTCAGTGCTTCATCATCTAATTGCTGTGTGGCCTTGAGCAAGTAACTTCACCTCTCTGAGCCTCAGTTGGCCATTGAACCAGCTCCTCAACTGTCCTGCTTTCTCTGCTTGAGGCCTCCTTCAGACATGCTTAGTGCTCAAAATATGTTAGCTAAACGAATGCGTGGTGATACGAGTAAACTCAGAGAGGGTGTGATCTCAGGGACAATTTCTTAGGGGTAGGTAGGTAGTTAGGCAGCTTCTGATTTTTCACGTCCTGCCCATTTTTGTCCTAATCTTGCAGGCTGGCATCCTTTCAGACTCCCAGGCCTTGATTCCGCCTACCTCAGTGGCAGAGCGTGGCTGCTCTGGAGGCCGGGCGCCCCGGCGGCCCCCGCCCACGGCAGGCCCAGGCAGACGAAGGGTGAATCAGGAGCGGCTCACTCTGCCCCCCGGAAAATGCACAGGAGGCCCCAGCCCGGAAGGTGGTGAGCAGGGTCTGACCAAGGCGGCCGTCACCCCTCCCCTCCTCTCCTCATTGGCCGGTCCCGCAGGCCACACGTTCACCCAGGAGCTCCGAAGAACCCTCTTCCTGCCTGAGTCACGGTGCAGATGCCCTCAGGACCGGGCGGGGGTGCCCTGGGAGCGGGCAGGCTCGGGGCGCCGGCGGACTCGGGTGCGCAGGCTCAGTTAAGGAGGCGCTTGGAGCTCAGCTGCAGCCCATGAGGCCCCATGACAACGTGGGAGCAGCATGCTCAGACTTTCTGACTCTTTTAAGAAATAGACTTTATTCTTTAGAGCAGTTTTAGGTTCACAGCAAAATGGAGAGGACGGTACAGAGAATTCCCACACATCCCCTGCCCCACACATGCACCGCCCCCACTGCCCCCACCAGAGACACAGGTCACAACTGACACACCTACGTTGACACATCACTGTCACCCAAAGTCCGCAGTTTACACTCGGTTCCCTCTTGGTATTGTACATCCTACTGGTCTGGGCAAAGGTAGACTGGCAGGATCCACCGTTGTAGTATCACGCAGAGTGGTTTCGCTGTCCTAACACGTCCTTTGTGCTCCGCCTCGTCATCGCTCCCCACCCCTCACCCCTGCAACCACCGAATCTTCCCCGTCTCTGTAGCTTTGCCTTTTCCACATCTGATTTTTTATTGCTTTTGCTTGCACCACCCATGGCTGCAGCTGGCCCACCAGCGTCCACTCTGAATGGTCAATGCCCAGGCCAGTGTGGTTAAAGATTTTGAACATTATCGCTGGGTATATCCCTTTCTTCACATACTGACAATAAATTCTAATTCTGTAAAACATCGTGCAGGCCGAATCAAACAGTCTGCAGTCCGCATTGGCCCATGGGCCACCAATTTGAGATATCGGATGTGGGAATTAAGAATGAAGTTGGAGTCCAGCTCTGCCACTTGCCAGCTGTGTGGCTTCAGGCTAGCCACTCTGCCTCTCTGAGCCCATCTGTCAAGTGAAGACCTTGAGCATGCGATTATGGAGGGAGCGACGCATTCAGTGTTAATCTTTGAGGCTTGACACCTCAGCATGTTCAAAAGCTTGCCAGGAGTGCAGTATGCACAACACACCAAAACATACAAGTGTTGTTCTTATAAAATTAGGAGATGACAGAACATCAAAAATCCGCAGGTGCGGGGGGAGGAGGGACGGGCATATACATACATAATGAGTGTGGTGCGCACCATCTGGGGGATGGACATGCTTGAAGCTCTGACTCGAGGGGGAAGGGGGGCAAGAGCAATATATGTAACCTTAACATTTGCATCCCCATAATATGTTTAAATAAAAAAAAAGAAAAAGAAAAAAAATCCGCAGAAACATACGAGCTCTTGGCATAGAGAGGAATGAGAGTGGGCAGATCGAGACTTGACGCCTGCTTGCCTGGGCAAGGGGAAAACCAGTTCTCTGCCTCCCAGCAG